CCCCCCCCCCCCCCCCCGCACCCCTCCCCCTGCCCAAAAACCCCAGGCCGAGGCGGATCGCGTAGCATTAAAATTAAACCCTTTTGATGGCCGGGCCCGCCTTCTGCTTCAGTCTTTTCCAGGATGAAGCCAGGAAAACCCAGTGGGCCTGGGATGTTCGAAGCATTAGCCCCAGCTAGAAGGTTAGTCATTTACTCGTTATACCACTCCTCGCACATGTCCATCTTCATCTGGGTTGAAAAGTGGGGCGGGGGGCTCCCCTTGGACCCCATGAATCAAGCCACCCTGCATCCTTCTTCTGCTTCTTCTTCTCCTTGCCCTTCTTATTTTTCTTTTGTTTTGCCTTGGCTTGTCGACATGTAGAAACCCGGTTTAGGGTTTAGGGTTTAGGGTTCAGGGTTCAGGGTTCAGGGTTCAGGGTTTAGGGTTTAGGGTTTAGGGTTTTTTTTCCGACGCAGCAAGAGATACCAAGCTTAGCGACCACACATTGGCGGAGTGACCCGGCGTAATAACGCATACATGTACACAAGAAGTATGTACACTGCATCCAGAGAGAGAACTCAGAGCTACACCAGTGAAACATGCTCAAGACAAGAGGAGAAGGAAAGTGGAGAACAGAGTGGGAGAGAAGGTAACACTGTACACTGTACACATTGCACTACACATGCTGCAGGATGCCGAGGGCAACTAGGAGCATTGCAGGGGCAATGCCAGGCAGAGCTCAGTGGCCCAAGCGGAACGGTGTAGAGGACTGAAAGCATCACAGTCAGTTGACGGGTGCGGCCTCGTCGATTGCAGTAAAGTACACTGACTGGCTATGATGACAGCAACTGAACTGAATGTGCCCAGTAGCAGCTGGAAGGTTTGCCGTGCAACAATATCTCAGAGTGCAAAGGAAGAAGCAGGGCAGTTGACTTTTTACTGCCCGAAGAGGAATGAGCAGTGTGATTGCAGAGAACCCCACCCCAAGTGAGTACAAAGAAAGAGAGCCAAGTAGGTGGCTTGACCCGCAGCGATGGAAACCAGTGCAGCACTGCTTCCAGCGGTGGGAGCACAAAGCAGAGACAGTGGGTACAAAAACCAGGGGCCCGCAGGGCACCCCCCGGGTGTACCACAAAGGCTACTTTACAGCTCCAGTTCCCCTCACAGGCGGACGATCGTGCCTTACCAGCAAGAGCATGTAGCACCCAGTCACAACACTAACATCTTCTAGAGATGTAAGCTGGGCACGTCTGTGATCATTTGTGCCCCAGGTGCCTGAGCCCGATACAAGCACTGAAGTATAGTGACCCTGCTCCGGTGAATTACCCGCCGTATGTACTATCACAGAGGCTAGCCTGTAGCGTAGCCATCGGCAAGCCAGCGACTCCTCGAGGAAACAGGGAACACGTACCAGTCGTGGTAACTGGATAGCGCGAGCGACGTGAAGAGGAGGTTCGGCGGCAGGATGTGGTTGAAGCGGGCGTCGGCCAGAAGCGAGGCGTGCGCCGCAACCATCCTCTCCCAGGGCGGCATCCGGCGTCGAGGTCGCCAAGATGATGACGGGGATCAGCTCGTCGATGGTGAAGCCGGACATGGCGTCGGGATCACGGAAGGAGAGCTAAGTCGAAAGCGGCGCGTTTGAGCGAGTCGTCGGCTTCGGCGGACGACGC